GACAGCAAACCGCCAAGCAACTTCTGGGACTTTTTCACTGGCAAGGTGTCAAGCTCAGAGACTATAGTTTGACTCCTAGGTGAACAGTTGTAGTGTGGGGCTTGAGTGTGGACCCGTAAAATTGTAGAGAGAGAACTGGCAGGAGATACACACACAGAAATAATGTATCTGTGGACGCTATACTGTTTATATAATATAATCTTAAATAACCCCACTCCTCTAGAACAAGACGGTTTTTCAGAACACATTAGATTATCAAAAGAATCATTATAAACCTACCAGAACAGTGTATTTTATCAAGATACAGACCTGTGACTATAGAATGTAAATATAGCATAGGCTGTTATAAACCTCTCTAAATAGAAAGCAGCTTTTATATATACATGAATCCTCAACATGAACTCAGCGGGCACTGAAAATGTCAAAATAGTCCACATTTCAAAGGCTTAAATCTCTTATATTTGTTTACATTAGCATTGAAGCTTTCTGAAGTTCCCCATCTGGCTATTTTTATGATATAGTGGCAGCTGGCTGAGGCTTGGTCTTTACCATTACAGAATCTTTTACATATAGTAACGCATTATATTTTTTAAATAAAGTGTTTATATTACATCTTTTTATCTGGACTAAATGAATTTGTACCCTTAAATGTTGTACATGTTGCTTTTCAGATACCTGTTGTCAGAAGAAGCCCTTCGCTGCAAAACTTCTTCAACGACCATTCACAGTCTGAAAAAAATTAAGTGAAATGGAAGATGTTTTTGGAAGAATAAGATATTTTGATAACTTGGAGTACATGCTCTGAACTCATGACATCCCTGAGCCACAAGGTGGTGATATTTACTGGTGTCAACATTACATTGTCATTAAAGTTGAAGTTAAATAGATCCTGTCTAAATATTTGAATGACCTCTATAAATGATGGACTCTGTTGGGATTGGTTAAAAAGCAGGATTTCCTTCAATAAGAATGAAACTATTCAGAGAGAGCACTGCCATTTCTAGTGGCAGAAAGTACAAAATATCTATTGATTGAGTTGGAGCCAGGCCTTCTTTGAGCACAAGCTGAAGATCAAGGTAGTTTCTCTACTCCTCATTTCCAATACAATTCCAATCATTTTTTTACTTTATTTTTTATCATGATTTTATCTAATCATTTTTAAATAATCTTCAAAGTATGTAATCATTTTAAACGTGCATTCGGTACTACTTTGTCTAGCATTAGCTAAGCTTCACTACTTTAAATACTGATAATGTTACCACAATGGTGTTACACAATGCACTGCCATTTATCAATGTGGATCACCATGATCGTCTCGACGATACAAGTGAGTTTTACAGAGCGCTCTACATAATTAT